CGTTACGCTACACGATTGGCTGAACGTTGCCACATGATGTAAAACAGATACACAATAATCTGCCTAATCTATTCACTGAAGACGCAGAGCTGATACAATCTTCCATCTTCCGCTGAAATAAAGGCTTTTAGACCTAAAAACCTGTTAAGAGATGTTTGTTCTCACTCTGTGCGACCAGACGTTTTGATGCGATCTACCTGCTCACTGTACATCTAAAAACCAGGTGGGACTCAGCTCACAGGATCCAAACGAAGGTCATGAGAGATAAGAATGAGCTTCCTTCATAGCAGGAAGGGGAGGACTGCTGTTATTAGGAGATCCTTCTGACCAGTGAAAGATATATTAACATAGTAACAGCGAACGGCCTTGATCAACTCAATTTGTTTTTCCTCCAAATGTTCAAATGTGAGAAAGTTCTTTATGCAGTGGGTGGGCTAGTTCCCCTGGGGGGAGTGTGTGTGTTGGGATTTTTTTAAGCCATAAATGTTTGTACTAAGGTCCTAACTCCACAGCAATTTGTGCAAATTTGTGTTTTATATAGATATGCGACGACTTATTTAGACTAAGACTAGGCTGAGCAAATGTTGCTACTACGATCTGTCAGTTTTACAGAAAGAACTCCATTTCACTCATTGCACCCCCGCCATGCTTCTGGGTTTTCATCTGAGAGGAAGAAGAAGAAGAAGAATCCTTGTTTGTCTACTGAGCGATCACCTTTCGACGGCCGAATGAATTTAAAAACATGTTTGATTTTCTCCCGACTTTACGATTCCTGATACCCCCTGTACATTACACCACGCACCATCAGGCTGAAAGTCGGCCCAATTGAAAAATTCTCGCATGATTGGAGAATCTAAACCTGAAAAACGCAAAAAATCGTACAGTGTACGCCCGGCTTTAGGGGCGGAACCGTTATTTTGGTTAAATTTTCATGTTTTCTAAGCCAAACTCAGGCTTTGTTGGGCAACTCTATAAAGCCTCGAACTCAACGCTATTTCTGACATTTGAACTGAAAAATCTTCCTGGAAGCGAAACGTCTTCAAAATCGGAAACAAAATCCAGTTGGATTGTTTTTTAACTTTTTTGGAAAACTAACAAATCATGCTAGCAAATAGCTACACTGCAAAAACTCAAAATGAGTAAAAATGTCTTAAATTAAGTGTATTTCCCCTTAATTTAAGTAGATAAATGAGATATTTTGCCAATGGATTAAGTGTTTTTACTCTTAAAATAAGATAATTAGATAATATGCACTCGAAATAAGACAATGTAATTGTGTTTTCTTATTTTAAGTGTAAAGTGTCTTGTTCCATTGGCAAAATGTCTCTTATCTCCCCAATCCAAGAACAAATACACTTATTTTAAGAAAAAAATACTTATTTAGAATTCATCTTTTTCCAGTGTGGATTGTTTTTTAACTTTTTAGGAAAATTTGTCATGTCTATTCCTTAATTTCTAATTTTATAATTAGATTCCTGCCTATAAATTTATGATTTATTGCTTGTAATTTTGTGATACCTGCTCTAAATTCAATTTTTTCATGTTGATTGACTTACAACTATAAATTCAGTCCCTTAGGCATATATTTTTTATCTTTCCCATATTTAGGAGCTGTTTATCATCATTGGAGAGAGTTAGTCGTAGTGAGACGTTACACGCCGGCTTATTGGTTGGAAGGAAACACGGCTGCCATTAGTTGGCGTTTGGTGATGTGGATCCCATACAGGTTTCACTCACCTGCAGCCTTCAGATCCATCTCCGCCATGTCTTTGCTGAGCTCGCTCGTGCTCGCCCCGACCTTCCCCTCCCCTGCGATGTCGGGCACTGCGTTCCTGCGGCCTGTGCGATCACAGTTGATGAAATCCGAGTACGACGTCTCCACGTCCATCATCTGTCCATGACCAGCGCTCTCATTACACCTGCGACAGGGAGAGAGAGAGAGATGTGTCAGGGATGCTGCAGAGCTCCTAAATCCCCCGCTGTCCTCCGTTATTGATCAACTTTTTGCTCGTCGTGTGGACTAAGGCTGAAGCGAAGCCGGGCGGACGTAAAGAATTCCTGAATGGAGACACGATGCTGAGAAGGGCATTAACAGAAGATCTTAATCATCTTCCTGCACTGAGGCTAATGGAAGCACTGACATCTTTCCTCACTGCTTGACCTAATTACATCAGGATAAAGGGCCCTCGCTCGTTTAGTCCTCCCCTCTAACAGAGTCCATTTGTCTCTCCTGAAGGGACTTACACAGCATTTCAAAAAAAGGAAGGAGTCCAGTCAATGTGAAAGCAGAAGTAAAGCTGAGGGAAGGGCCGGTAGAAAAAAGAAATAAATAAAGGAATCTTATTAGCGATTCATTCCTCAGCTGTTTCCTGTTTTTACTCCATTCTCAACCGGGTCCTGGAGCCAAGCTGAAGGGAAAGGACTAACAATGGCCGGCTGCAGAGAGGGAGGAGAAAAAAAATAAATAAATCCCCAGTATGTTTAAATCCTGGTTCCCTGAACGCCCCACTGGAAGTTTGCACGAGGAGCCGCAGACATGAGGAGTTCTTGTCGCACATTTCTTCATTACAGCAGCTGAGCTAAGAGGCCGGAGCAGGAAGGAAGGAATGAAACAGAAGCGATGACATCATCCTGACCTGAGGTCACACTCATCGTCAGCTCTTTATACACAACAAAAAACGTCTAGAAATAAGTCATTATTTTTACCTTTGAGCAGGTACACTGGAAGAAATTTAAATCTAGATAAGTCCATTTTCTTAAAATAAGTGCATTTGTTCTTGAATTAAGGAGGTAAGAGAGACACTTTGC